GGGCTGTGTCGCCTGACTACTAGTAACATGTGCACGCCACATTGCTCTGCGAAAGGAGATGGGACCCTTTGTTAGTCACTATAAGGCCACACCAAGTAAATTTTATGGATGACGTCCTATGGATACTGATTTTAGCCACTCTTAATCCTGTCAACTTGTACAGTTGTCTTTGCATTTACGACACTGATATGATAAACTGAAAAATGATGCGTTTCACTGTCTTTTAGTGTAATTCTTTTTATTATTACAAATTACAGAACAAACCTTGTTCCATATGTATACCGTTAATGCATTATTCCAAGTAACGTTGCATCCGCCACGAAATATGTACACCAGAGATCACATAAAAATTAATGGGATTCAGCAGAATGCCAATATATAAGGCAGCGGGATTGAAATAAATAGGGACTGAGAATCTCATTTGGTAAAATATATCCTTGGTCCGTACACGTTCAGACTACTCTGTAAATCTCTGAAGCCCTTCACAGTTAATTAAAAGGATTTGGAGTTAAGTAGAATAGAATGTTAAGGGGGGGTGTACCATGATAACTAAGCCCCCGACAAACGATTGAATTATCGAAATGGAGCTACGTAGTAGAACCGAACGGTGTTGTAACTGCACTCCGGGTATTTCTCTACAGACGCTGCATTGCAACTACCGGAAAGCGTTGCTGGTTGTGCATGACATTTCAAAGAAGAATTGTAGCCGTCTGGCCGTTCGTCCGTGGCTTCATGTCGGCCAGGAGCGCACCTGCCTGCTGGCAGTAAGGCCGACCATCTGCCACTCGCGCTCTGATTCCCACAACCGCTCCACCAAATCCCCGCTGAACAGCATCTCATTAACCCACTTCCTTTGTAACCACGGTGTAGGGTACACATAAACCACCGACCTCGCGATAGTCCTGGAGCACCAAATTATTCAACCAAGTGGTCTGAGGGAGGAGAGGGCAGACGGATCCCTGGTGATGATAAGAAATAGGGGTCTGACCTTTCCTCGAACCGTGCGGTTCTCCACGGGCGATTTTCCCCCCCAATTGCAATGTTTCAAAAATGACGTGCTTAGGACTAGTATATAAGGTCATGCGATTTTTGTTCTTCTCTATATATCTAACATATGTAACGTCATACGGAGAAACATGGTTTGGGGATAGACCTTTAAGTTCACTTGACTGGGTCACTATGTGCGTTGAAAAGTCAACAATGATCGCATCGCTAAGTAACACTATCCTCATATTGGTAAAATCGGTTTCACATGCAGTTTAGTTATATCGACGATGCGTTCACGCATACTATATCTACAACAGGTGTTACTGTGAGTGTTATATACAAGTTACAACGACGTGTTGTATCCTACTTTAACCTCATGGCTAGCCTAATCATCATCGGTGTTTGGTCTCTCCTCAAAGCACGCCCACCAGCCCACTGTAAGTGTAAACATTAGCGTGAGGTACATTTAGTCATATCTTTATAGCTTGGTGGTTGGTCGAAGCCAAACCTTTGATATCTTCGGTGCTGTAAACAAAAGGATATAAGGGTGAAGGTTTATCGTGTAAGATTCCATGGTACCGCAGAACTCGTGATTAACACAGGTTTGATTTCACAAGATTTATGTAATTAAGTATGTGATAAGTATATGATAAGTATGGGGTAATCAAAAACATTATAAAACATCCGTATGATAATATGCCCCAATGTGTCCTTCCGTCGTTTTTTTTATTTTTTTATTTTTTTATTTCCGAAACATGTAATCACAAGACGTGGTGACGACACACTCAAGCTTTGTC